CGTATAAAAATATATTTGCAGTACACCATGCATCTTTGCTGTGTCAGTGTTAATACATGCTATGGGGGATGATTATACGTTAATGTGCTGTTTTCTCTTCCTCCGCGTTGATGCTAAGGTGTCGGTGATCGATGGCTCCAGCCCTTTTGCGAGCGCGTATGACCTCGAGAATATATCAGGAGCTACCAGAACAGAAACTGTGAGTTGACAAAGGCGCTGCTCTTGTTTGGTTTAATGTAAATTTAGTCAAATTTTGCAAGTGTGTATTTTTTTTTTCCTGCCACAGTGACCACAGTGCTGTCCTGCCCAATCCCCGTGTGGACTATAGGACGAGTGCTGCTGCTCCCTTGAGTTTAAAGCTGAATCCGCTACCCTGTGGAGGTCATCAGATATCCTTTTGATAATACATTAAAATGGACATGTTTGTTTTCACATAGAGTAACCTTCAAATAAATATATCTTTGAATACTTTCTATGGATAAGGTTTATTTAAGGTGGGACGCTGCAGACAAAGCATGTTTTTTTCATGGACTGTTCAATTTTGAGCTTCCGAGGTATTTATATAGTCTTGTCAGTCCTCTGACATGCTTTTGAGATGGTAATACAAAGGAAATGTCCAGAACAAACACTGAGGTGCTTGTTTTACACCTCTGGTAATGCACATGTATGTAAATTACTGTCATTTCCCAATACAAAACTTTAACAGTCATTTTCTTACACTCTGACATACTCTTCTACGTCATTTGCATACACCAGAGTTTCCTGTTTTATTCCTGCCTGTATCGTGATGCTTTGTATGGCCTTTTTGGCTATAGAATATGGATTTCATTGTGTATTTTCTGATTCATGAAGCGATAAAGAGAGATCTCAAACACTACCTCTATAAAAACCTTGAACTCATTTGGGGTGATCCTTCATTTGGACATTTGTGAAACCTCGTAATGTAAAAAATGATTATAAATAATTTAAGTAAACTTTCTGTCAGTATATGTTAGCTCCATGTCTCCAGAAGCCCAGAAACATTTCATAATAAAAAAGAGGTTTATGATAAATTTTATCTCATGTAAGTAGGCTTTTATTGGACATGTTTTCCACAGCAGTACTGTGCATGCATAAAACTAGGAAGGTAAAGGGAGGCTGTAGCAGCAAACCTCTGAATGTTTATTCTCTGAAAAATCAAATATTATTTCATCTTTACTCAATCAGGCGTCACATAGCTTTGTTGTTCAAAGCACTGTAAAATAATTCTGCAAAATCACTGCATCAGAAAAAGTAAGTAAAATGAATGTGGTGAGTTAGAATAACATGCAGTAGCTTAATTAACTAAGTGCTTTAATTTAGCTGGTAATTCAGCTCCGTTTGCATGATATTAACATTTTATGTCAGGAGACTGGGATGTCGTTTTCTTTGTCCCATTCAGTGCTTTACTTATTCACATGCTAACTTTGCTATGAAGTTTTGGGTGAAAGAAAAGTCAGGTAAAATTAAGAAACTTGTAAAACATGAGTACAGAAAATTTAGAGCAGGGATGTTAAAATCATTAAAGTGACTTAAAGACTTGAAGAACTTTTTTGTCATTGTAGTTATACAACAAATCTGTTTGGTAGCTCACAGAGGCCAGCAGCAATAAAACAAGAAACAGCATAGTAACATAATACAGTCACATTATACAGTGGGCCACATAATAATGGATTGGATTTTATATAGCGCTTTTCAAGGCACCCAAAGCGCTTTACAATACCACTATTCATTCACTCTCACATTCACACACTGGTGGAGGCAAGCTACAGTTGTAGCCACAGCTGCCCTGGGGCAGACTGACAGAAGCGAGGCTGCCATATCGTGCCATCGGCCCCTCTCCAACCCACGCTCAGCCCACGCTCCAACGTTAAGTGGGCCAGAGGTGTTAGACTCCCCTTTCTGTCACTGTACAGAGGTTTAACTGCACATTTAATCCTGGAGATGTCTTAATATAAGAATAAGAAGTGCAAATACAACATTACATTTACGCCATTTTTCTGCACAGTAGAGAAACAGATGTGTAAAAGTTAAAAGAAAAGTTCTGGTAGTTCATTGTTCTAACATGTAATTATCCTGAAAAAAAAACCTCTGTCATTTAATTGTTTGTGTATTTTATTTAATTCATTTGGTGTAGTGTGAATGACCTTAAAAAGGTCATTAGTAGTAGCAGAAGCTGTAAACCGTGCCAAAATACAGTTAAAAATTAAAAATGTGTGCCGTTGCATTCACATCTGCCAAAGCAGTCCAGAGGCCCAGACTGGAGTCTTTGTTGGGCTGATTCTGATTCTAATGTTTGACACCCTGATTTTGGGGTGTGGTGTCTAATTTTTGTCATTGTTTCTGCCTTGACTTCTCCCTCCACCTATCGCCCCGGCTTCTGGGAAACCATCAAATTTGCCTGGATTCAATATGTCAGCATCCTCCTCATCTTCCTCTGGGTCTTTGAACGCATCCAGAGATTTGTTTCCAGAACCAGGTTCTGACAACTGTCCCAGTCCCAGTGGGAAAACCTCACATGTCATGATGTAGTAGTGCTTCAACCTCCTTATGCAGCCTGCCCACAATCTTCTTTTCCTTGTTCTTCTTTGAACTTCTTCTGCTGTTGCTCTCGTGTGTTAACTCAGGTTTACAGTTAGCATAAGTGCTGCCCCATCATCGTCCAGAAAACCTGTTTGGTGATCTGAACACATTCACACATTAGGACCAGGCAGCATCTCGCAACATCAGTACAACCAGCACCCATGCTGCACATTCAATTTTAAAACTGCTTTGATATTTGTTAGAAAGCAGAATCAGTCTGTCTTTTGTTGCACGCAGGAACTTAAAAAACAAAAAGTAGTGTCTGAAAGGTTAGACACGTTCGAGGTTCCTTCTTTTGTGCAGAGACAACAGTGCACGTAGCGCTGATTGACCTGTGCTGGCACAACTCAACAGCTGCCTCTATACGATAAAGCGCACTGAAGTTATACGACTCACAGATGTCCCGTTATCTCGAACATCCATGGGCGTGGCAGTGTTGAAAACAAACTGTCTGCTGTAGTTAGGAATTTGTAGTTGGCAGTTTGGAGATATTTTTTGTGAGAAACAGGAGTTTCTGTATGAATGAAATCCCATGTAGCAAATCTTTAAGATTTTAAAATTTTATTGCTTTTTTCTTTACCACCTGAGGAGCAATGGAGCAACCTCCTCTAATAAAGCTGAATAGTTGTTTCTCTGAAAAGTGGATCTTTTTCTTTCTGCTGCTGTTTTCTAGCAACTGTTTAGGAAATATGAGAAGAGTTTGTGCTATTGTGTGAGTGTATGTGGCAGAATCAGTCTTTTGTGTTGTGGCATAATGGATAATAAATATTTTTTACAGTTTTAACTATGTGTGTCTGCTTTAACCATAACATGTGTGTGATGATTTCCTAAGAAATGAAAACTAAAACCTGTTTTTTTTTAAGTATTCAGACTTTTTCTGAAGCAACCTGTTGTTTTTAATGTTTTGTGACTTTTTCACGAAGCCATAACCCCAACTCACAACAATATTTATCTTAAGACACTTTATATCATAGGGTTAATAACCAATGAGCTAATGATCTCCTGTGTGAAAGCACTTCAAAGTTCACAACAACCGAGCTAATGGAGGGCTGCAAGTAACCAGAGATCATAAATGTGCAATCCTAGCATGTGAAATACCAGAAGGAACTAAGTGTGAGAAAATGAGATAATGTTAATCATGAGGTTCAAAAGAATTAATGGTTAACCGATCCTATCATCAGAATATTTAGACAGAGCAAATGGCCAACACAGCTCGAACTGGCTGAAGGATGATTCTCTCCCTGTCTTGGAGTTGTCACAGCCCTAATCCTCAAGATTAGGACAGAAGAATTTTTCTTTGTGTGTTAGGAAGCATTCCTGGTGGTGCAAAAACCAGTTTCTCATTAACATTTACTCTTGGAAATAAAAAGGTGACAAGCATTTCATGTTTTATTACACGTCCTTTAGCTTTGGTGCTTGGAGAGAAGCAGTGTGTGTGTTGCTGGTTGGCTTGACCGATGTTTTTGTAGCAGTCCAAGCTCCTCTGTGTCTCTCCCTTTTGGCCATTCAGGGCTTTGCACAAACAGCAGATGTTTTTATTCAGTGTGCGTACAACATGGACAGCCAGCAGACTGTGAGCAGAGTGGTTTAGAATGGCCAACTTCACTTTCAAGCCTTTAATATGTCACCAAGTTCTCACTGTTAATTGCAAAATTCATGAAACACCCCCCATTTTTTTATCTGTTGATAAGATAATGGGAAATTGGAGCAGCGATTTATTGATACATCTGCAAACATACATGGAAATACAGATATAAGGCAAAAATAGAGTCTGTATAAATCTAAGTTTGAAAGTCAATATTTAGTATGACAACTTTTTAAACCAATTATATAGATAGTTTGGCTTCTTGACAGCATTGAGAGAATTCCTGATCAGGCTTCAGTAAACAGTAGATGAATTGGATCAATTGACCTCTGATTACCTCTGTCTCTGATGTCTGTTAC